TGTGTGTGTGTGTGTGTGTGTGTGTGTGTGTGTGTGTGTGTGTGTGTGTTTTTAGGGGAAACCATAAGGTGGAGGATGCCTGTGAAATATACGCCAGAGCAGCCAACATGTTTAAGATGGCAAAGAACTGGAGTGGTAGGTGACACACACACACACACACACACACACATATATATATATATATATATACAGTATATATACAGTGTATATACACATACTGCACACTAAACAGAAAAAACACATAAATCTGTACACAAATAAACAAACTCCCACACACACATTTATTTGAATGTTGGTTATTTTTCATGCACAGTTTAACAGGATGTGAATGATTCAACAGCCTACAGAGAGAGTTATATTATCACGTACAGCAATGTGAGCTTCAAACATACACAAACGGTGGATTTAAATATGAAAATCCAGGACAGATTGGGGCAGATGTGCCAATAATAGCTCTGCTGTGCAGAATTTAGCTGATGTGTGTGTTGATGGTTCTGCTGCCTGTGAACAGAGTCACGTAGTTCAGTGAGAGTAACTGTGTGTGTGTGTGTGTGTGTGTGTGTGTGTGTGTGTGTGTGTGTGTGTGTGTGTGTGTCTAGCTGCGGGGAATGCATTCTGTCAGGCTGCCGGGCTCCACATGCAGCTGCAGAACAAACTGGACTCAGCCACCAGCTTCGTCGACGCAGGCAACGCTTACAAGAAGGCCGACCCGCAAGGTGAGCGCAGCTGTCTTATGCACACACATTCTTTATGTTTGCTGTGTTTATTGTTTGATGATATTGTCATATTGCTCCTCCAAAGAGATGAGCATTGTTTCCCTGATCAAGAGGAGTCTCTGTCTGTTGTACTCTGGACACAAATATGTGTCCGACTGATTTAATGTGTTACTTCCTGGATGTTACCGAGCAGTGACGACCCAGATCACAGTATTTAAACATCTCATTTATATTAAATATACCATATTTAATGTGAAACTAGCAAGTACATTTATTCAAGTACTGTACATGAGTACAACTTTGTGGTACTTGTACTTTACTTGAGTATTTTTCTTTTCTCTTATTCTTTACTTCTACTCTATTACAATTCAAAGGCAGATATTGTAGTTTTTATTCCACTGCATTTATTTGATAACTTTACTTACTTTTTCAGATTTAGATTGATAATAATAAATATAACAAATACATTACAATGTATTATTATAGGTTAAGATGTTGATCACATTAATGCATCAATAATTGTATACCAATAGTATAATGTGTATTGTTCAGAAATGGTCCATTCTGCATAACGACTACTTTTACTTTTGGTATTTTAAGTACATTTTGATGCTTATACTTCTGTACTTTACCTTTAAAAATACTTGAATGCAGGACTTTTACTTTAAAGAGAGTATGTCGACACTGAGCTCGTTCCAGCTGATGATAAGGGGGAAGCCTCTGTATCACAGTCGGAGCCGGGACCCTGAGGTCGTGTTCATGGAGGATTAAACTGGGTCACTGGGTTGATATCTGAGTTATTCTGCCACAGCCTCCATGTGATGAGCTTAATGAAACACTCTGGGTTAGCAGGATAGCAGCCACATGGGGAGGAAGCTGAAGGGGCTTTAATTTGACTAAGACTCTTTTCAGTGTCTTTGTATTTATAACGTCCTTTCCTTTCTCTCCTATCCGTCTCCTTGTAGAGGCCATCAACTGTCTAAATCAGGCCATCGACATCTACACCGACATGGTAAGCTCTGCCTCAACCGTAGAACGGCTCCCTCACAACCACTCTGATCTTTAGATGATGATTGTGTGTGTGTGTGTGTGTGTGTGTGTGTTACAGGGTCGGTTTACCATCGCAGCCAAACATCACATCACTATAGCAGAGATTTACGAGGCTGAGCTGGTTGATATTGAGAAGGTATGTGAGGGTTGGGGGGGTCATTTCTTTCACTTTTCTCCGTCTTTTAGGTTTTTCATTCATGTTTTTGTTGAATATAAATATGCATCTTCTGTGCTGACTTGTGTTTTTCGTTCTGTTTTCAGGCCATTGCTCACTATGAGCAGGCTGCAGACTACTACAAGGGAGAAGAATCTAACAGGTATACGTGCTGAAACGATTAGTCGATTAATCAATCGGTCCGTCAACAGAATATCACTCTGCAGGTTTTTTTGATAAGCTAATAATCGTTATCGTCTAAAAAAGTCCGTAAAACATTTTAACTGTTGATGTGAATTTTCTGCTCTTCCTTTATGTACATTACGTTAATGTGGATCTCTTTGGGTTCTGGACTGTTGGTCAGACGAAAATGAAATATTAGAAGATGTACATTTGTTCAACTTTCACTATTTCCTGAAGTTTTCTAAATCATTTAAATAATTGGGAAAATAATTTGCAAATTGATGGATAATTAAAAAAATATTAGTTGTATATCTTTTCACTGTGACGCTAAATTTGACAGTGAGAGTTCACTAGATGTTGTTGACACTAATGAAGTGAGTCACATTATCAGGAGCAGCCCTGTAACAATAAGATGAGTCGGTCGGTGAATGAAGCTGACTCACACTGCCGTAGATTTATTACAGCAGAGCCTGATGACCTTTACAGATTGGTAACACATCATCCATCATCTAAATGAGACTCTTCTACTAAATCACTCTTTTATACTCTCAGGGTGTGAACACAGTGGTGGAAAGAATAGTGACACGCATGTTAGCTGTTAACTCGTGGGTGTCTTTGTTTGCGTGTTTCAGCTCTGCCAACAAATGCCTCCTGAAGGTGGGACACTACAGCGCTCAGCTGGAGCAGTACCCGAAAGCTATCGAAATCTATGAGCAGGTAACAGCTGAGTACGGTTTATGGAGTCATTATGAAATGATTTCCACACACGTTTGGGTCTTCTTTAGCTTACGCACAGCGGGCGCCGTTCCTCCTGGTGTCCACACGAAAAACGATGACGGTAAAAACAAACAACAATTTAAAGTCTCCAGAGGAGCCTCCAGCAGAGACCTGGTCCACCGTGGACAGACCCAGATCCTCCAGCAGAGACCTGGTCCACCGTGGACAGACCCAGATCCTCCAGCAGAGACCTGCGCTCCTCGCGACACCACACTGCTGGAGGCCCGGGCCGTATTGCTGGGCCTACTGGAGGGATGGGAGAACCAGGACTGAGCTGGGCAGACTGTCAGACCCTGTTGTGGTGAAATTAGATCAGTTTAGAGACTCTGGTGTTCTTAAACACATCGTCCACAGGGGGCGCCAAAATCAACACAAATAAAAGATCCTTGTCGTAGCTTTAAGGTTTCTACATCATGAAGCAACATATTCACATTATTAACATAACATTATATATATATATATATAATGTTTTCTTAGCAAAGTTGCTAATTGCGTTCAAACTGTAATACAGCAGCTTAAAGCACAGTCACCATAAATCATAAATATAACAACACATTAGAAAAACTGAAACAGTTTCTGCATTTGTGTGTTTCAGGTTGCCATGAGCACCATGGACAATCCTCTGTTGAAGTACAACGCCAAAGAGTATTTCTTCAAGGCGTCACTGTGTCACTTCATAGTGGACGAGCTGAACGCCAAGGTACACACACCTGAGCCCACACTAGAGACACACACACACACACAGAGAGACACAGTTGCCCTGTTCACACCTGACATAAACATTACACGCTTGCTAATATGCTGATGCTAAGTGAGCTAACAAAAATACATTTATTTGTGTGTGTGTTGCAGTTGGCCATAGAGAAGTATGAGGAGATGTTTCCAGCCTTCTCAGACTCTAGAGAGCTCAAACTCTTAAAGGTAAATCTCAAAAACCGTAAACTACAAATGATTTTCTGAGAGATTTAAGTTATTTTGTGATTGTTCTTATCATTTAAATTACTTAAATGCGTATCACAAGATGTCTATTTGTGATGTCGTCACGATGCGATTCCATTGAAAGACGATGAATCATCATATTGAATTACCGCCGAGCACTTTTTGTAAAATCTGGCGTTGTGTGTCGCCACAGAAACTGCTCGACGCCCACGAGGAGCAGAACAGCGAGGCGTTCACGGAGGCCGTCAAGGACTTCGACTCTGTGTCTCGTCTGGACCAGTGGTTGACCACCATGCTGCTCCGCATCAAGAAGACCATCCAGGGAGACGCTGGGGACCTGAAATAGATGAGTTTAGAGATGGGGGAGAAAAAGGGTGGGGCGGGGGGGGAGACAAGGAAGATCAGGGGAGAGGAGTTATAATTAAATGAAAGGAAGGGAGAAGTGTTAAGATGTGTTCTGGTGTAAGAAAGGTAAAAAAAGAGAGACAGACAGATGAAAGGGGGGAGGGAGGGTGGGACTGAGGGAGTTTACAGTTGTACATATCTGCATGTGACCCCCACCTAGCTAAGCTTCACCTTTACACACCACCTTTAGATAATCCCGTGTCCCTGGTCCTTCAGTATTGTTCCTGTAACACTGGACCCAATTGTACTTAAAGAGAAATAAATAAGTGTGTGTGTGTGTGTGAGAGTGTGTGAGTGAGAGTGTGTGTGTGAGTGCGTAAACTAAATGATACACTATTTGATGGGAAAGAGTGCTGCTCATATTAGATTTAAGGATATATGTTATTTAAAAAAGGGATAACAATCTTATTTATGAGATTACTAATAATTATATTTATTGTCGATACTAAAAAAAGATTATTTATGTTTATTATGGTACTCAGTGTTACGATTTGTCTTAATATTTTAGGTATTAGCTCCTCTCCTCGCGTCTTTTATCCTCCTTCACTTCCTCTACTCTTCTGTTCCTCCTCCTTCGTCTCCCCTCCTCCTCTCCTCACCCCTACATCCCCCCCCTCATGGTCAGTGATATATCACTCATTGTGATTGGTTGGTTCTTTGTGTTCTGGCCAGCGATTGGTCAGTGCAGTTAGCCACCCCCCGTCACTGCCTCGTTTGTGCATGTCTGTTGTCATGTTGATGTAAGCGTTCCCCGTGTTGTGCTAACGTGTGAAGAACATACATGTAGCCTGGTATCATTTGTGTGAAATCAGTAATTATGTACCGCAGAAACCGTGTTGAAATAAAAACATCATCGCTCCAGATATCTGACTGTTTTTTGGGGGGTATTTCAAGGCGTTTAAGCCAAAGTCACATCATGACATCACTGCCATGATGTCACGCTGCAGCAATGACTGTTCCCAAAATACAACATTAGTTGAGACAAAATCAATGCTTGATTTTTAGTTTAAAAAAATATTTAGAGCTAGTTTTGTCCCTTAAAATGACTTATTCTACACCATTTAAAGGGGTTTTGGGTTGTTTAGATGAGGAGTTTGGGACTACTTTACTTTATCTCTGCAAAGAAACTCAGCAAAGAGGCCAAAAGCAACTCTGAGCTGTAAAATAATGGTCGTAAAAAATGTGATTGCTTCGGTATGGAGTGTACATGGAGTCTTGAAATCAAATCCTGCTGGCTCAGCGTTCCAAGGCCTTTTTGTTTAAACTGGTGTTTTTAAAGGTCTACGCATTTTTATTGCCAAGTGCAGGTAAATCTCACAACTACAAGGAGATGCTATTGCTTTAAACAAATGAGGTTGAATAACAATAATGGAGGCGCCCTACTAAGGGTTATGAATACAGTGGACTAATGACTTTTATTTTATTTTATTTTATTAATTTAATATACTTGGCAATAAACCGTTTCTGATTCTGATTCTGATTCTGCTCAACACCTCCAGTCCAATAGGTGGCGCTAATGCGCATCTGAGCTAGTTCACCAACCGCCACCAAACTCTGAAGAGGAAGCATAATTCTGCGACACAAGCTTCCGGTGTGGTACACGTTCGTTGCTCACTCGCATTGGCTTTAGTTTAAGTGTAAATCGTGAACGCCACTTTTCTCCATAACTGGTACATAATCTGTACCAACCGTTTTACTGAAGGAGGAGGAAGCAACGAGCCGCCAAGATGCCGCGAATTATGATTAAAGGAGGCGTCTGGCGCAACACGGAGGTACGTGTTTACACGCTAGCAGCGTTAGCATGAAGCTAACCTCTGATATGAGTCGGACCTAGCATGAAGCTAGCACAAAGCTAGCTCTTCACTTAACGGGATTTAGCCCGCCTAGAATGTTTTGGTTTATCTGTGTTTATGCCAGCGATCTAGAAAGAGTTTATTCAACGTTATAGCTTGAAAGTGGTTGATTTAACTAATGCATTTAGTCAGAAAAGATGGCAACTGTATTAGCAAACATGACGGCAGCTTCCAAGACTTTGTCAATGTTAGAAAGTCAGCTAATTAAAAGTCAAGTGAGGAACCAGTGAGGATGTCTGTCAGCTATGGGAATGTCTCATTGATTAAAAGATGGATGAAGTACTTTATTACTCTGAAGTTTAGAAGAAAAAAAAAAGACAAAGATTATGAGCAAAGCAAACTATAAAATATAAAGGGATGATTGTACTAAATAACTTTTAGTAAGCTGCTCCCTCAGCTGTGGAATCAGTTGCAAAACGACCTAAATCCTCCAGGAGCTGGTCTCTCTGGATGCATTTTAGGAATGTTATATTGAGTCGAGGGAAGGCTCATCTGGCTCCAGATGTTTTTGATTAGTTTGTCTCCTATGTTGATGACTTGTGAAGGTTGCAAAATGTTTTTGATATTTTACGATTCTGTAATTTGCTCTTTCTTTGCTTTCATTTTAAATTGTTATGTATTTTCTTTCTGTGTCTGCAACATTGAAAATTGTGACGCTGTCTGTTTTAGCTAGGATGCTCTTGAAAATCAGATTTTTAATCTCAATGAGACTCTTCTGTTGTAAAATCAATAGTCTTATATTATTAAGGGAGACGCGTGAGGATTCAGCCCCTTAACCCTCTGTCATAGTCATCTGTTGTTGATCATTTGTGATTGATTGCATCAAAAACATGTCAAGATAACACTTAATAATTCGTGCCGGTCGCTTTAATAATCTTATTTATCCAGGATGAGATCCTCAAGGCAGCGGTGATGAAATATGGGAAAAACCAGTGGTCTCGAATCGCCTCCCTGCTGCATCGCAAGTCTGCCAAACAGTGTAAAGCCAGATGGTGAGTCTTGATACAAAGACATGTGATGGCAGGACTTGTTTATTAGCAACTACACCATAATAATGGAATGAAATGATTGTAAAAACTCCAATTGGATGACTTTAAACTGTCAATTTTATACATTTTTAGATGTCTGTGAATGTTTGTGGTGTTGTTGTTGTAGCTCGCTATTTGTTTTGTGCGTCCTCTCTCTGTACTTATGTCCTCTGCTCAACTTAAGTCTCCCATGCAAAAGAGGTCTTTGATCCCAGTTTGATTTCCTGTTTAAATAACTGTTTCTGTGTCTGTCTGCAGGTACGAGTGGTTGGACCCCAGCATCAAGAAAACCGAATGGTCCAGAGAAGAGGAGGAGAAGCTGCTCCATTTGGCCAAGCTGATGCCCACTCAGTGGAGGACCATTGCTCCCATCATAGGACGCACCGCTGCCCAGTGCCTGGAGCACTATGAATACCTGCTGTACGGTTTTATGTTATTTTAAACACATTCATACACTACATAGGCTTAATATTTAGAATTATATTGAAAGTTCAAAGCAGACTCTTGACCGTGATTGTAGGATACTTTGCAATACAACATCTGAAGCACTTAAATTAAGTATATTAAATGCTGTTGATTGCCAAATGATGTGTATTTGTGTGTGTTTAGAGACAAGGCGGCACAAAGAGACAATGAGGAAGAAGTGGGAGACGACCCCAGGAAGTTAAAACCAGGAGAGATCGACCCTAATCCCGAAACTAAGCCAGCCAGACCCGACCCTGTGGACATGGACGAAGGTTTGTTAACACGCTTGAAACAATGACAAATTAGCTTTTCCCGTCAAAGGGTACGGCATCTATTTAGTCCATAAGAATATCAATTTATGGGCTTCCATCGTTGTCTTTTACAATTCTGGTTATGATTGTTATAGTTTCCATTTTACGCTTAAGAATAATTTAATATTCCAGCTAATTGTGCTACAGTCATCATCTGGAATGTTGTATCAGTTTAAATATATAAAATCCAACTTGTGATAGTTTTATCACATGTGTCTGAACAGAATAAATTGATTCTGAGTGTCTGTCTCTCTCACTGTCTGCAGATGAGCTGGAGATGCTGTCAGAGGCCAGGGCTCGACTGGCCAACACCCAGGGCAAGAAAGCCAAGAGGAAGGCCAGAGAGAAACAGCTGGAGGAAGCCAGGTCAGACACGCACACACACGCGCGCACACACACACACAGTGTTTACCAATGCTGGGTTTGATTGCTTTATTCAAAAAACATTCGCAGAAATTGCAATAAACAAAATGCCATGCCTGATGGTCTTAGCTGTACCTAAAGGGATGTGAAAACCTACGAAGCTGCATAAATAATTGATCTATTTCTGGTGCAGACGTTTGGCCGCTCTGCAGAAGCGCAGAGAGCTGAGAGCCGCCGGCATCGATGTTATGAAGAAGAGGAAGAAGAAGAGAGGAGTCGACTACAATGCTGAGATCCCCTTCCAGAAGAAACCTGCACAGGTAACAACCGTCACTTGTTTTTCCTCCATTTCTATCCAAACCCACAACACACCAGCACAGCAGGTGGGCTCAGCTTGACATCACAATTCATTCATTATTTAATTTTGTTCACTTTCAGGGTTTCTATGACACCAGCATGGAGCAGTACCACGCTCTGGAGCCAAACTTCAAACGACTCAGGCAGCAACACTTGGAGGGAGAGCTACGCAAGTCAGTAACACTACACACACTTTACACTCTGTATTTTATACACACATTCATGATAAACATCGCAACACACACAAAATGACAATAAACACACAAGAAACATCACGTTTACGGCTGTACCGAATGTCATTTTGTAACATTCGAAGCTTGTATTGTTGAATGAAGCTTTGGATGTCTGTCATCATATTTTATGATGCCATCACACTAAATTAAAGTAGATGTTTTTGTTATTGTGGGTATATAAATGAAACTCATGGTGCTGTTAGACCAGCCTGTTAATACAGCCACGCGTCTCTTTGTGTGCGACAAGCCTGAGAGCAAAGAGTGTTTGTTAAAATGATGTTTTTGAAAGACTAAGACCCCATCAAATATCTTAAGCAGAATAGTTTTGGAGTTATTCGAAATGTTTTGACACGTTGGAAACAATCCTACGCAGCCACCACTGGAATAATACTACTACTAGTGTAGCCTGATATTCATCTGCAGAAATGAAATGTCGTGAATGAAGCTTTAAACCATTCGTCACAGCCATAGTCACATTAGCATTGTTCAATATCAAACAGTTATGGATACATGATCGATGCACATTGTACACCATAAGGACTCAATGAGATCATGGTTCACTCATGAACTGTTTTGTGTTTGTGGGCAGTGAGCAAGAGGACAGGGATAGAAAGAAAGACAAAGCGAAGATCAAGAAGAAGAAGGAGAGCGATCTCCCATCGGCCATCCTGCAGACCAGCGGCGTGGCCGAGTTCACCAAGAAACGCTCCAAGCTGGTGTTACCGACACCACAGGTAACCACTGCACCTGTACTACTTTAAGTAGTCGCCCGTCGGGTGGGTCCAACAACTTTAATGCTGTTATTATTCATCTTTAATTTAACGTTCTTTATAGATCAGTGATGTTGAGCTGGAGGAAGTCGTCAAATTGGGTGTGGCCAGTGAGGTCGCCCGTCAGGCTGCAGAGGAGAGCGAGAGCGGCAACTCTGCCTCCTCCGCCCTCCTGTCGGAGTACAGCGTCACCAGCGCCATGAACGCCGGGCTACGCACCCCACGCACCCCCACCGTCCAGGACAGGATACTGCAGGTAACACACACACACACTGAAAGTATTACGAGTCAGATAACTACAAGGGGTCTTATTCTCTAATCTTTTTTTACACACAAATATCAACATGAGCTAAAGTCCTCTTCCAGCATACACAGTTCACATCTTTGGATATAAAAGATCCCTCTCTGTGTTTTAATATTCACTGTCTGTGTTTTTCAGGAAGCCCAGAACCTGATGGCTCTGACCAACATCGACACGCCTCTGAAGGGAGGCCTCAACACGCCGCTGAACGACAGCGACTTCAGCGGAGTGACGCCTCAGAAGCAGCAGATTCAAACACCCAACACCGTTCTCACGACACCATTCAGGTAACGATGCATCGCCTCTGTGCTGTTACAGCGCTGTGCAACTAGACGACAAACCAGCCGGTACTGTGAATGTTAACACTCATGGTGGTTTTCCACAGAACCCCTGGACAAGGGCAGGGCCAGGAGGGCCTGACCCCTCAGGCTGGAGGAGTGATGACCCCGCGGGGGCCAGTGACCCCAGGTTTGACCCCCCTCCGCACTCCTCTGAGAGACAAACTGAATATCAACAGTGAGGATCAACTGGCTGACCCTGCGTACGCTAAACACATGGTAATTACACAACTCACACTCTGAATATAAGGAATTTAAACTGTAAAACAAGTTTTGAGGTGCCGTACATAAAGGAGCTCTCGCTGCTGCGCTATGCTTTTAGCGATTTATAATAACTAAAATGGATTAACAGCTGTCACTCTTCCCTCACACACACAGCAAAGGGAGAGCCTGCAGCAGCTGAGGCAGGGCCTGCTGGGACTTCCTGTTCCCAAGAACGACTTTGAGATTGTTCTTCCTGAAAACGCGGAGAAGGACCTGGAAGAAACGGAAGGGGAGACGGGATTCATAGAGGACTCTGCGGACGTAGTAGCACGCAAGAAGGTGTGCTACACACACACAACACCAAACCACCTCTAAGTGACATAAACCCGTGTGTGTGTACTTGTAGTTAAAAGTTTACTGTGTGTGTGTGTGTGTGTCAGGCGGTACGGGATGCAGAAAGAGAGAAGGAGCTGAAGCTGCGACACACTGCTGTTCAGAGGAGCCTCCCCAGACCCACCGAGGTAACACACACTTCCTGCTGGGTTGGATTTCATAACTGTTGTGTTGGAGTAATCCCGGAGAAAGATGGAACACAGTGCTTTTATTCTGGCATGATGGTGACATCCGCTCGGCTGTCTCTTGAAAGGTAAACGAGTCCGTCCTGCGTCCGTCCTCCATGGAGCAGCTCTTGGACCTGCAGCTGGCCGAGGAGCTGATCAAACAGGAAATGATCACCATGCTGCACCACGACTGCCTGCACCACCCGGGGGCCAACGCAGTCAGTCAGCTGCAGCGCGGCAAAATCAGAGGCCCCGCCTCCACGTCGAACAACGCTTCGCACATAGCGTACCTGGAATCACATTCCTACAAGCCAATCAGCACGGAGGACATGGAGCAGGTAACGGACACGTCGTTTCAAAGTCACTCAAACAAATGAAACGATTGTTTCAGTACTAGTTCGATTCATGGACGTCAATATTCTGTGTATAAGGAGTGCTTATTAATGATGATGCGTACCGTTGTTAACGAACAGGCAAAGACTGTACTGGCAGCAGAAATGGAGGTGGTGAAGGCAGGAATGGGCCACGGTGATCTCAGCATGGAGGCCTACAGCCAGGTGTGGGAGGAATGCTACGGACAGGTGAGCATCCCTCTGTCATCCGGCCCTGAGCATAGACTGCCTTTATATCTTCAGCATCACATGAAACCAGTTGATTCATCTGGTCTCTCTCTCTCTTTCTGCAGGTTTTATATCTACCCGCTCAGAACAGATACACCAGGGCCAACCTGGCGTCAAAGAAAGACCGCATTGAAAGCCTGGAGAAAAAACTAGATGTGAGAAAGCACTCGGACACATGAAAAGCTAACAGAATGACTCTGAATTGTGCACTTCTTTAGCTGCCTCTTTATCTGTCTCAGGTGAACCGTGGCCACATGACAGCAGAGGCCCGGCGAGCAGCTAAACTGGAGAAGAAACTGAAGATCCTGCTGGGAGGCTTTCAGTCCAGAGCCCTGGGGCTCCTGAAGCAACACGGTGAACTCTGGGAACAGGTACTGAATGTGATAAGTCTTAAAATCAGTCAGTTCATCCTCATTTATTCTTCTTTATGGAGGGAATCCCCACATTTAATCTGAAGAGATCTGTTGCAGTTTAGATGCTATAGTGAGATATTAAAACTAACTACTTTGTAGTCCGTTCTCCTGTGTCTGTAGTTCTTGTAAATTATGTATTAATGTTGACTCATGGTGTCCACCAGGTGGAGCAGTCGTCCACAGAGCTCGAGACCTTCAAACAGCTGAAGAAACAAGAGGACACTGCGATCCCCAGGAGGAAAGAGGTAATCCATGCAACACAATGACTGTAAAAGCATATATTCAAGTCACTGTTGATTCCATCTTCAATGTAAAGAAGCTTCACGGGCTAATCGTCATTCTGTGTGTTTTAGGCTCTGCGGGAGGACGTGGAGAGGCAGATGGAGCGTGAGCGAGAACTTCAGCAGCGATACGGAGAGATCGTGATGGAGAGGGAGGCGATGATCAACAGCGCTCAGAAATACTAACACGCACACATTCATACTGCACACACTTGGATACTCGTTATGGATATGTTTATCAAGCAAGCAGCTGCATTTAGAAACGAGTCGTCACTTTTTATTTTTTTGTTCAATATTTGCGTCAATTCCAGAGCTAAGCCCCGCCTCCGTGTTGCTATAACGTCACAAGCTGAGTTGTGAGCATGCTCAGTAGTACCTTGTATTTCTGTATTAGTGACCAATAAAGTTTTTTTTCCAAACTGAAAATATTGCATCACGTGTCTGTTTGTGTAAAATACTAATCTGGTGTATTCTAACAGTCTTAGTGAATCATTGTTTCTCAGAAATGCAAACAAGGGCTTAATGAAGTGTCTTTATTACAACAAAAAATATTCATGCAGGTACTTTTAATAATAGGTTTGATGTTCAGCAGGTGAGGAAGGCCATCCCACTCCTGCAATAAGCACTCTGAGACAGAAACAAACTTCAAGTCAGTCAAATGGAAAATAATACTGAACCACAAAGAACCTTAAATACGACGGATAGTTGTGCATGTACGTACTGTGTGTCTGTAGTTATATCTTCTGATGGCCTCTCTGATGTGACAGGGCTGGATGGCTCCACTAGGAGGCTCCACTGTAGCCGGACAGCTCTGAAACAAAGAGGATTAATACGCCACAGGACACCAGCGGCATGTCTGCATACGTCGGGTTCTAACAGACCGACGAGTCAACACTGTCAAAAGATTATTCAGATATTCAATGTATTAGTCATTGAAAACATTTTATTTATCAAATTGAAATATTTGTCTGTCAGAAATACATGTTTATACACAAACACTGTAGGTACATTATGGATTTTGTTTACTACATTATCTCGTAGTTGATGTATTAATCTACAATGTAGAAAATAATACAAAAAAAATAAATACAAACACCTTTTTGCGTTTTCTCTGTCTTGCCCTGCCGTCGAGACTGCCGTTACCCTGTGGGAGGGGCTTTGATGCATGGGAGGAGCCTGGAGTAGAAGGGGGAGTGGCTTCAGGTGAGTCTGGATCCTTCTTTACCTGGAAAGATGGAAAACGTAACTGTGGTATCCGAGTTTTGGTGATTAGGAACAACTGAATGTGAGATGACTACAAGTGTGAGTGTGTACCTCAGTATGAGTGTTGTACTGGATGTAGCTGGCAGAGATCACATGACTGATGGGATTTGTTTTTGCAGTCATTTCTTGCTTTACCAACAGAGACAAATCCACAATCTGGAAGAGGATAAAGAAAAGTTTTCAACCACACACACATATAACGTAGATACAGCCATTAACTGGATATGTGTGACATCACGACTCAACAGGCGACCTGAGCAACAGTCTCGTAGGCCAGGTAGGACAGGATCTCCATGGAGATGCTGTTGGGTTTTATCTCTAAACTGCTGCAGTCGAGCCAGTCTCGAAACTTCGACGCCTTCTTTGCTGGAAACATATTCACACACACACACACAAAACACCATTTAGTTGAGTTTAATACTGAAAGAATTTATCAATTAGTCAATGGACAGAACTATTTTGATACTGGGTTAACTGTTTAAAGTCAATTAACAAGCAAAGATATGTCTAATTCCATCTTCACCAATGTGAATATTGGTTACTTTTCTATGTTTTATATTATTGTAAACTGAATACATTTGTGTTTTACCATTTAAACCTGCTGCATCATTAAAGTGCACGCATTAAAACAAAAGACAGCTCTACAAACTATATCTATTTATTAGAGAGTCGCTTAAAATCTCACCAAAACTGAGCTGTCGACTCTCACAGAACTCAGAGTACTGCCCCTGGTCCATAGCTCGAGTCTGACGCTCTAAACGCTGAAGATACAGAGACACACAATTAATAATCAATCTTAAAATGTGCTGTTGTCTACAGTCAAATCAGCGCCGCATGCCAGTGTGTCATGAACATGCCCGATGACCTCGTACCTCCATCCGCTCCTGTTTGATGGGGTCTACTTCCTGCCGCTCAGCCAATGACAGGAGCTCTCCGGTCTGATCCATCCCCACCAGGAAGTCCTGAGCCAATCGCTGCCTCCGCTGGTTTCCGCCAGCAGCAGCACCTGCAGCACTGGCCGACCTGTCTGCAAAGGAAAAATATGTATGTATGAAATTAGAAGTTCATATCTCAAACATGTCGATGCCATTAAAAAACTGCCGTGTATGTGCGAGCGTGCATTTATACCCGTTTCTTGCTGCATCTCGTCATCCTCCAGAGATTTGAGTAGTTTGGATTTATAATCTCTGAACTGGAGATATTTCAATAACCTCGCCACCTTCCTCTGGTCAGCAGACATCGAAGCGAGAGAGTGAAACACAGAAAGAAGAAAGGTGAGGAGAATCAATACGTACACGGAGGCAATCCTTCAATCATGGAGAGGCTCTGAAGTTGGAGTTTTGTTTTGTCTGTTTTGTGAGTGCGACTTGTTTACCTTGTCCCTCCTCATCAGGAACAGGATGTCCTCAACTGAAATGACCCTCGACCCACGAAGACACGCCCCCTCACAGGCCTGATGCAGCTGATAAATAAACACGAGTTAAACTTGCATCATGGAGCATAAATTACATTAATTATCAAGTGATTTAAAGGTTAAGAAATAAGAGGATAAGGAGCTTCATTAATTGCTTTAGACATTAATTAGTCAGATCTCTGTATTCTCTCATCAGCTATAAACAAAAAGATCCGGTTCAAAGTGTCTATTGAGATTTGCTTTTTTAGATTCTTATCATGATCTTTAATTTCTGTGGAATCAAGTCTAAAGTCTGTTGAGACTGTGGAAGGATCTATGACGAACAATGCATGACTGTAGCCGCAGTTGTTCATAAAGGAAATTGACAGATTCCAAATTTGAGTTTGGGCAGATGGTAAAAAATGCCAAATTTAAGATGTGATGTCTTCAAAAAAAGACCTTCAATTCAGAAACTAACATCTGCTTTTCAAAAACTATTAACCACCAGTGTACTGGTTTAAAAGATTAATAATATAAAATACTACTCAACAGTACGATGAACTATCACAGGTCAAGCTCCTAAAACTACTCGGCAGTATATAAAGAAATAAAAGTAGCTGCACATTTAAAGTGGTATCTTTACAGTGTAGTATCATTGCTCCTCTACCTAATTAAAATATCTGGATACTTGCTCCACCATTGTGTACTGTGTCTATGTTACCATCGTAATGAGCTGCGTGTGCACGATGTCCTCCACCAGAGCTGCTGTCTCGTGCGGCGGCCTGCGAGCGTCTCCCAGAGCGAACCTGCCGCACAAAGAGACAACGTATCGATCAGCGTCAGTATTCTCAAAGCGTTTGAAGTGAAACTATTTGGCTCTTTCTTGGGGAGCATCTGAAGAGATAACTTGTCAATCTACGAGCTCAGTGCTGACATTTAACGGTTGTGAAATTTGTTAAATAAAAAAAATCAGTTTTGAAGAAAAACAGAAAACATTAAGTTGTTGGTACTAAATGACACATGTCTCTAGTTCTCTATCAGTTTCTGTCTCAGACAAAACACACTGACCTCAACATGCCGTTGCCGCCGTCGCCCCCCCCCCCCACACACACACACACACACACACCAATTTGGTCAAACCTCAATTTGCATCCAGAATAGCCACTTCCATGATGGCAGTCTAACCTAAACCCACATCCTGAAGCTCTTTCCTTCCCCATAACTCTCTCTGTACGTACAAACAATAAACAGCCCCCCCCTCACCTGTGCTGTGATTGGCTGTTTGCAGCTGTCAATCACACAGGTGAGAGAGGCTTTGGTTTGGGGTTGTGGGCAGGTTGGATTCAGGCTGATCATTGGTTTTAGGTTTTGGGGTTTAGTTTGGTTTCAGCCTCTCTGACCACCAACACCAGCTCTCTGCAGCTCACACACACACGACACAAGGTGAGTACCCCAAAACACACACACACACACACATATCACGCATGTGGCTTCTTTTGAAGAACCCAAAGAAAAATCTTGTGTGACAGTAAATCAATTCCTTGTGGTGTTTCCCTCTACAGATAGAAAGTAGTGCACATTGTAAATATGTATGAAGTATCTGTAATCTTAATATTCAAAGTATAAGTGTGTATTGTCGACTCATGAAGGCGGAAGATTCATTTCTAATATTTCTTTTCTTTTGATGAAGTGTTCTGAAGAGAACTACTGTGACTTTGTTCTTTTGTAACTGTACATTGTGTTAAGTTGGGCTGCAACGAAAGATTGTTTCTATTAATTCTTTGATAAATCGATGACGAGTTTTGTCTATAAAATGTCAGAATGGCAAAAATCGATTTCCTAAAGCACCAGAAGACGTTTTCCTGTTCATTTTGTCTGACCAACACTAGATAATATTAAAATGTCAGAAACGATTAATAGATTATAAAACAGTTGATAATAGTGTTAATGTTTTTGAATAGCTCATTAACTCAATGCTGATCGACTCATCGATCAATCGTTTCACCTCCACTGTGAAGACAGTTTAGTTAAAATGTGGACATTAATTTCAACTATATTTCATGTTGATCGTCTTTATTGTGTTCCTTCTCTACTTATTCCATCAATTAGTCCATACTTTGAGTCTTAACTAGTGATTTGAATGTGGTGAACTAAAAGGGATGATATCTTAAATGTGCATTGATCTATATTACAGGACGATGGTATCGTGATATTTCTTTCACAAGCTTGGGAACCATTTATATTTGATTTAAAATACCTTAACAACACCAGTCACTGAAAGTGTTCCTATCATTAGATCTCTTTCTTATTTAAGCTCATACTTTAGGAAGTAAAAAGGATGCTTTGAGTGTAAACACAATGAATCAAAATGAAGTGTTGTGGACTGTTTAAGGACGTCTTTTAGTTTTTATATACAGATTATAATAAACTGAAACACTTTCTCTGTCATTTGTTAAACAGGTTTTTATGGCTTCAAACAGTCTGTTCAGCAGCAGCAGCCCGATGCTGTACTGGGGTGAGTCTCCCTGTGTGTGTATGTGTGTGCGTCTTACATCATGCTCTGCAGCTCTGGGATGAAACTGATCCTGGATGCTGGACGCTCTTTAGAACTGGAGGCTGCGGAGCCAGCCATGGGACTGCTCATCACCACAGCCTGAAACAAACACATCTGCATTAAACTAGGAGATCACACTTAACTGAAGGATCATTGTAGCTCACCGTGGAAGCAGAGAGCTGTGTCACATTTTACAGGCTGCAGTTACTTTTACTTGAGTATTTCATGCAACTTGATACTTCTACTCCACTACATTTGTCTGACAGCTTTAGTTACTTTACAGATTACAGTTTTTCTTGCTGGTGAGAGCCACGTATCTCCAGATGTGTTGATGTAGAATGTTTGTGATGAACTGAAGGAGGAAGGGTTTCCTTTAATGTCGAGAATATCCTTCTCCAGCTAAACAAACTTTAAAAAGCCTCTTGGATCAGCTGGAAGATCGTCACAAAGCTTAAAACAAGCTGTTCTTAGAGATACGTGGTTCTCACAGGACAGAGACGCTACAAACACGTGATGGTCTTATAGAATATGATATGGGTTAAAATGCAACACACACATTAATAGAGCTGTGGTATTAATTTAGAAACATCATATATTATAGTAAAATACTGACAGGGAACATTGTACTGCATAATAAATACTTATACTCTACATACTAAGGTTTTGAATGCAGGACTTTTGTGGTATTAGTACTTTTACTTAAGTTAAGGATCTGAATACTTCTTCCACCTCCACCGCTGCTGCCTTTGGCTCGGTGTATCTTGATAAACTGATAATTGAGTATAGAAATTAAAGATCACAGTGCTGAACTTTAAACGTCTCTAAGATGTGAAATTTAAAAAAAAAACTAAAATATTTCCTCCCAAAACACAAGCATAATGTGTCAATGTCAACAAAAGACAGTCACTAGTCTAAATATAGTCTGTAATGTAACACGTGAGCATGATTTAGTCTAAAAACACAACGAGTCATCAGAAGTGAAGCTGAGCCATGAGCCTAAAACAACAAGATAGCAGAAGAGAGCTGGGGCACAGCAACACACACACACACACACACACACACACACACACACACACACACACAGGGTGGACAGGTGGTGTTGACCGCAGTAACTTCCCCTCCGGCAGTAGAATCTGAATGATAATACAGCGCAGCTCCCTCGTATTCAAACACTGCGGTGAATAAAACACAATGAAGAGGAGAGAGAAACAGAAACAGACACGAGGAGGAGGAGAGGAAGACTAAAAGGTCCACAAATAGTTTGAAATGTTCACCTGTAGTCGTCCAGGAGAAAACGTTGTTGCTCTTGTTGACGCTTTTTAGATGTCTTGTTATTTTCGGCGCGATTTTATGACGTAGATCGAATGAGGACGCGCGGCGTTTTAGGTAGTTGTAGTTTTCTACACTTCCTGGTCAAAAACGTCTTCTTACTCTAAAAACATGGTTATTTAAATAGTTTCGTGTTTCTGGTTTCGTTCTTGTTATTAAAAAAACACTAATCATCCCATTTACTTCACATTTTCTGAAATATATTTTAGTATATATTTATATATACTAAATGTATATAATATATTTAGTAGCTAAAATGAGTGGTGAACAAAGGAAACAATCTTCTTATATACAAATATACAAAATATATTGGGTTCAATTAAAACTAAACTAAACTAAATACAATAAGAAAGATTATCAATTTTCCCAAACTAGCCAGAGAACTGCTGAATCAATAAAGCTTCAATAAAACATCAATGCTTGATTCATTTTCTGCTATACTGATATGATTTGTAAAGACCAGTTTAAATGAGGTCAATTCAGGTCATATTTAAACAAATTCTACAATCCAGTCTTTGAAGATTTGAGCTGATTTTTAACATGATCTCTCTGTTGCTCCCTCTCAGATCCTGCGGTGAAGCGTCAGCCAACACCATCGCCCACCAGCCACCACCTGGACGACCAGGAGGTGAGGTCCCGCCACCAGCGCAGCACAGCGCCACCCAGAGGCCTGGTGCAGACCGACAGCCCGAACTTCCTCTGCAGCAGCCTGCCGCAGCACTGGAGGTGTAATAAGACGCTGCCGAGGGCCTTCACTGTGAGGAATCATCTGTCTGTCTGTCTGTCTGTCTGTCTGCCGTCTGACTGTCTGCCATCTGTCTAATGTCAAAGGTCATCACATGTCCTGTGGATATTTTGCCCCTGCAGAGTTTATTTCATGTTGACCATATTCTGAGACTAAAGGACCTGTCCCAACCCTTTCTCCATCCTCCAGGTGGTGTCCCTGGGGAACGACGTACCCGACGGCGTGGTCGTCACAGTGATGGCCGGCAACGACGACAACAGCAGCGCCGAGCTACGCAACGCCACGGCCACCATGAAGCAAGGCCACGCCCACTTTAATGACCTGCGCTTCATAGGCCGCAGCGGGAGAGGTAGTGATACAATAGTTACAGTAATAAACACAAACATGGACCAACAGAGGCCTCGTTTTAAAGCGCTTCAACAGCGGAGTGATTTAAATCTTTTATCATTTAAATACCCTCCCTTACACAGCATTTAGACAGTCAATTAGAGGTGGCTTTGCCTTTTAACTCAGATGACAATCTTAAAGTTAGAAGGATAAACAGAAAGAAGACAGGAAAACTTGTCATATTCAATCAGTGATCAATCTAAATCAGTCAAGTTTATTTATATAACCCAAAATACAAAGTTTGTCTCAGACGGCAATCAATTTTTATGGTTTGTTATTAACTTAAATTACTTCTAAATCCTCTACTACTTTCCTGCTGTGAATTGTTGTTGTTTTTTTTACAGGCAAGAGCTTCACACTTTCCATCAATGTGCTGACGTCGCCGCCTCAGATCGCCACCGTGCACCGAGCCATAAAGGTCACCGTGGACGGACAGCGGCTGCCCAGACGTCAGTTCACACCGGAGAGGACAAACATGGTGGCTTTAATCCAACACTTTCACTCAGAATCACTCTCACTGACTCTTCTCTGCTTCTCTCTCAGGGCAGAGGCAGAAGGAGGTGAAGTCAGGAGTTTTCCGGTTACCAAGCAGCAGCTCTTCATCATCAGGTTTGTTGTTTAAAAGCCTAATTATCTTAAACTTGAAAGACGGCTGCAGCACGAAGTTTATTACTGCTGAGGAAGACCATGCGATGCAGCTGAAAGCTCTGGAAAAACCACGTGGACCTATGTTCTACGACTTTCATGCTTGATATTATTTGTTTGTTTGTGTGATCAAACTGTTGCTGTTGTTGCCTCTCTCCAGATTGCAGATCATTTTCCTCCTCTCTGTGGACCAATGAGCCATCGTTCCATGGCCAGATGACCTCTCTGGCTTCCTCCTTCACTCCAAGTCCCAGAATGCACCACCTGCCCGCCCTCTCGTACTCCACCCAGCCCCCAGCGTACAGCTCCTTCCTGTCCTCTGCTCCTCCTCCCCCTCCGCTGAGCCACAGTGGTCCGTTCCAGTCGGGCAGCTTCTACTACGGACCGAACCAAACCACGGGGGAGGAGCGCAACGTGGTCACAACTCTGGCCAATTACATTGAAGGGGCGTGTCTGTCTATAAGAGGGGAGGAGCCTGTCTGGAGGCCTTATTGATTACTGGATGATCATCTTTAAATATAGTATTTTGGGAGTTTTATGAGAAAAAAACTTTTGTTTGCCGTGATTTTGATGAAAATATTTATTTTAGTTATTTTAGTTATTATAGTTATTTTATTGTTTCTGATTATTATTCAATGATTATTTAATAATATACATTGGTTTAAACAATAAATATAACATATTTCCCAGTTTCCCCCTTTCTATGAAAGTCTTTCAGGATTTGATAATTAATTTGTTATAAAATAAAGTGTTTATTAGAGCAACAGTTAATTTGCAACAATAATTTCTCAACCTGACTACACAAAATAAAGTACAACATTTACAATGAAACAATTAACAATGAATCAACCTCCTGAATAATGCTCCGTTCTGCTGTTTGCAAAAATAAATAACTTGTGTATTTATAAAGTACTTTTATTACAACTTAAGGAGACTAATGATTAATGGGTTACAGGTTCAGTGTCGACTGTCCTCCTGTAAAGCGTTGAGTTCGGCCACTCTCCTGCTCCACTCTTCTTCTGTCATTTCTTCTGCTCCTTCCTTAACGTCCTCCACTACCTGATGCTCTCCTGAAACACAGATCATCACATCACAAAGATAAAACACACACAGCAGCTGATGGAAAAGAAAAAGCCCATGAGCCCCAAATATTCTATCCAAGCAGGCTAATTATTATAAATATATATATTTGGGAGTGTTGATGTGTTTGCGTGTGTGTCCTCACCATCGCAGGTCAGAGCGGTGCAGACCCAGTTTCCACAAGCACACACACACTTGTTACACTCCATCCGCGTTTCAGCTCCGTCCTCGAACACCTTATCCTCCAGAGCACACTCTTCACACACACACACACACACACAAGAACACACGCACACACACACAGAAGAACACACGCAGGTAAGAAAATCACAACTAGTGAATTGCTTAAACAATCTGATACATTTGTGTTTTTCTATTATTTTCTACATTATCTGAAAAAAGCTTGTCTCTAAAAAAAACATTATTTGTCACATTCAGTCTTTTTTTTTCTTCTGTTTCCTGGAAATAATAAATAAATAAACTATTCGATCATGTGTGTTTCGTTACTTCTCTCATATGGATGGTAGGTGGGGGTCAGGCAGTTGATGAACTCCGTTAAACTCAGCTTCCAGTCTGCGTTTTCATCCGACAGCTCAATCAAAGCATCGACACACAGAGACCTGAGACACAGACCGAGAGTGAGCGACCTTAACTATTGATTCAAATGTTTTGTTTACAGAAAATCATATTTAATACAAATCAAAATTTGCTGTTAAGTTGTTGGTGAATGATTATATTTACTTATTTCCATTTGTATAAAAGGGAAATTATGTTTTCTATGTAACGTCTTAACAACCACACTCCCAACCTTTATCTTCTTCTGTGTGTGTGTGTGTGTGTGTGTGTGTGTGTGTGTGTGTGTACCTCAGCAGCGTGTTAGTCTCCAGCGTATTAGAGTACGTGAGGTTGAGGGCCGTCTCATTGTGCTTCAGGAAGCTCAGGAACTCTTTGGAATCGAGCTCTGAATCCCCGTTATTGTACGTCTGTAGCACACAAACACGTTTAATTAGATCTTAATTACCTCATTCAGTTATTGTCCTACAGCTCGTAACTTATCAGGTTGTCCAGTCGTCAAAAATGTGTACCTTGAAGTAGGTTTGCAGGAGCGTATCGGCTGAGGTCACATTTGAGGCCATGTTGTCAGATTCAACCTCCTCCTGAACCCACTGGATCACTCGCTCTCTCAGCCAATCACGGTCTGACAGGAAGCACACCACTACACGTACAAATAAAACGGTTAACGTCAATAAATGTGAGTTCTCTTAAAGGGAAACTTCTGTCATTTTCAAGCTGCAGACTTACTGGGGCTCACATCTGTCTTTGTTGGTTTCTCTGCAAATAGAAACACACAAACAATTGTCACAACTCACACACACACTGCTTTAACTATCTGTCGGTGTGTGTATGATGTATTTAAAGTGTGTGTGTGTGTGTGTGTATGATGTATTTGTGTGTATGCACTGACCCAGACAGTGTCCTCTGTGCTCCACATGTATCTTGGTCTGGGTGATGCAGGCGTCTCTGTGCAGCTCACAGTGGTTCCTGTAGGATCTGCCGTTGCTGCCACAGACCCAGTTCTCCGTCACGTCACACTGCTGCAGAGAAAGAGGAGGAAGAAGCAGAAGTTTCCCAAAACTGAACCTCTGGAAGACAACTATGCAGAAATAGTATCTGCTGAAGAGTGGTGAACAGGTACTTGTATTTTCTACATATTACATCTCAGGGGTAATATTTTACTTTTTACTTCACTACAATAATTTGATATATGTGGTTACTTTTTACTTTACAGATTAGATTAAAATAAAAATAAAAAAATAGGATCCAATGCATCAACTTTTGTTCACTGAAAGGAGACCGCTCAATGTACGTCTTATTTTACTAATTCAAACAAGAGCAACAACACCTCCTAAGTCCATCTCCTAAGGGGGGGGGGGGGTGTTTGATATATGTTTACTCCACCACTAGTATTCAGCAGCTTTTACCTGTAAACAGCGACAAACGGGTTCTCCTCTGTCGGTCGACACACACTCTCGACCGGCACCGCAGAAAGTCCTGGCACACACTGACTGATCCTGACACACACACACACACACGCACACACACACACACACACACACACACACACACACACGCACACACACACACAGAGGAAGCTGTATCACGTTTTCATTTATTTCTGGTTTATATAGGAAACAATGAAAAGAAGTGAAAAGTGTGTTTCAGACTCCAGATGGTGACCTTTAACCTCCCACTGAGACCCACGCCATTTTGAATGACAATGACTCTTTCTCAACTCACAGACACACACACACACACATTATTGAGCCAGCTGCACAGCGATGCAGCTCATTGTTGAATTTTTTTATTTAAAGCTGGGTCTCCTAAAACTACCTCTCTAAAACTGAACATTGTAACCTTCCTGCAGGATTTATAGCAGGGCTGCATTAGCTTTAGCTAGGTGTGCCCAATAAACGATACACACACCTCATAGATTCTCCTAAACAGATGATTACGTTCAAACTCCACACATTCCTGTAAACTTACAGGTCAGCACACACACATGTCTGCACAGGTGAGGACCCTCAGTTACATGACGCATTCCCTCCTTACTTTAATCATCACAACTACGTGTCTGACGCTGACCACTAAATCAAGAAAATTACAGTAATTCTAATCTGAATCCTACATCTAAACAGTCCACAGAAGAAGAGAAGATTGGACGAAAAGTCGTCACTTTTACAAAAATATTCCTTTTTTTTGATATCTTTATCTCAGGACCTAAAACTCAAATTGCTGCACACAAAGATGATACAAGAACACACTCTCTCACACACACACACACACACACACACACACACACACACACACTCACTCACTAACAATAGATACATCTGCCACTTCCAGCTGACATCTGCTGCACCGCAAACCTGCTGTTAGCAAACAGCTGACTGGAGCAAAACACACACACACACACACACACACTGCAGAGTGGTGTGTTGGAGTAGTAACAAGTTCATGTCTGATCCTGTTAAACAATTTCTCATCCTCATTTTGAATCTGTTGTCCTCTCGTTCCTCTGCTCTCGTCCTCCCTCTATTCATCTTTCACCCTCATTATTTTATATATTCATGCCTCCTTTTTGCCTTCATTATTTCTCCATCTATTCTCTTGTTGCCTTTTATACATATATATTTTTTACCCTTTCTCTTTATTAAATGACAGATTTGTTGTCTGTTTTGGTCAGTCAATATAAATACAAACAGGTTGTTAATCCTTTACGTCAACTAATACGATCACAAGGTGTGTCTTTTGTAATTTTTTTATTTCACTGTGCTGCTGCAATGACACAACTCTACCATAAGATCATAAAGGGATTTTTCATCTTTTTATTAGGTTTTAGTCCTTTTTATTTTGCATAAATGTTTAACTTTACTTAAATTTGTAGTTTCGGAATTTTCGATAGTAATGGTATTTTGTTTTAGTGTAAGATAGAGTCAAATCAGTTTGTGCACTATGAAGAGTAAAATGCAAATACGGTTCAAAAATAATAATAATTCCACTTACAGTATATAGTTTATAAGACCAAGTCTACAGCTAGCACCGGCAAGCTAACATGCTAATGTCAAGCACGTATAATGTTTATTATGTTGTACGTCTTAAGCTAGCGCATTAGCATGCTAACGTTTACACAATTAATACTAAACACAAAGTATAACTGAGGCTGATGAGAGTGTCATTCATTTTTTAGGTATGTCGTCATAAATAAGTACACATGTTGGACAAACTGAAGTTTTGACCTGATGGTGGCGCTATAAAGATTTTATACTTCATCCAGATGGGAACAATGAATGTGTGCTCCAGATGTCATCCAATAGTTGTAGAGATATTTCAGTCAAAACAACAAATGTCGATCTCACGATGGTGCTGGATCATGAATGTCTACAACAAATGTTCTGCTAATACATTCAGTAGTTTTGAGATATTTCAGTCCGGACCAAAGTGGTGGACGCACAGACCGACTTTGCCGTCTCTAGCCACATCTTTTTACATTTTACATGTCTAGTTTGAGCTCAGTCTCACAAATGTGATGAATGATTTAGCCTTTCTGACTCAAAGGTGATAAAACAGCTGCAGAGGAAACAAAGTGAGTGTGTGTGGACTACAGCTGGAGGGGCTGACAGTAAAGATGAGCTGCTGACAGCCGTAATCACACACACACACATTCCTGAGGAACGGCTTCAGCAACAGTTTCAGAGCAAAAACACATTTCACCTCCACATACCAACTTCACCCTTAAAAGCCTAGCGCAGCATCGATGACATGTTTCTACAAAACATTAAATAAGTTTCATATCTAATAAATGGAAAAAAATGTTTTTGTCATTGGACATCAAATATGGTATGCTCAGACATGTGATGCATGTTGGTGACTTTACACTGCAACATAAATATAGGGTATGTTCCCCTGAATCATATGATCCAACACTGGATATCACTGAAATAATTGGCCAAAATACAAAAACTGTTTTCAGATGTTTCTTTTGTTGTCTAAGCAGGCTTTAGAGGGTTAAATTGTGCGAGCTAAACACGCACACACATACACACACACACACACACACACACACACACACACACACACACACACA